GATTTGATGATAGCAACCATCGTTTCTCCCCTCTCGTTCTCCTCTCCCCCCTGTCCCCATCTTTCCGGGCCCTTCTCACCAACCCTGCCCCTCGCACTGCTGTTTGACGGGCTGCGCCGGGTGGGCAGGAGGCGGCTGGGCTCTGGGCACCCCAACTTCTGCCGCCTCCCATTGAGCTTGGGGTGGCACCGGGTACGGGGGTGCAGCTGCGGATTGTGTCCTTCCCTGGCACGGCGTTTGCCGTCGCTTTGCCCCTGTGCCTCTCCACGCGGGCAGTGCCCGACCTGGCACCCAGGTTCTGCTCCGTGCCCGCCAGCTGCCGTGTTTGCACGACTGTCCGTACGACCGCCCCCTTGCACTGGGCAGGCTTTGGGGGGCTCTTGGCCGGGCCTCTCTCTCACCAACGCACAAACTACTCCCAGCTCCTCGGCACGACCGGGGTCTTTCTCCACTACCGTCTCTGAGAGAACCCCAGGGATCTGGGGGGACACTGCAAGGAGCAGCTCCAGCACGCAGTGGGTAATAGATACCGGCTCAAAATGTCCCCGCAAACACGGACTCCCCGCCGCGCCGGGGGGTGTCCAGTGGGTCCCGCAAGGATCCGTTCTTGGCCCTCCACAAATTCATATATTTCTCAACGACTTGGGAGAAAACATCAAACTATGACGGATAAAACGCGCCGACGACACAAACCCCGGAGAGCGGGACCAGCGAAGAGGCAGGGCCCGGATCCCGAGGGGCCGGTGGGGCGCAGGGTATCTGGGCCAGAGCCAACAATCTGCGTGTCAATGCGGCTCCATGTGAACGTCTCCATCGAGGAGAGGAGCGTGGCGGCCGTAGGGCCAGGCTGGGGGACGCAGGGACGCCGACCCAGGCTGGGGGTGATGGTGGAGAATCAGCCAACGGGAGCTGCCGGGGCGGCGCTGGGGCGAAGGGCGAAGGCCGGCCTGGGCCGTGGCCGGGGGGATCTCGGGTAGGAGCCGGGGGGGGGTTTTCCCGCGGCTGGGTCCTGGCTCCCGTTCCGGTGCCCGTGATTCGAGGAGGACGTGGGTCAATTGGGGAGGAGTCCCCAGGACGATGAAAGGGTTAGAAAACCGGCCTCCGAGCGAGACCCCCAGCTCGGTCCATGAGCTGAGCACGGCCGGCGAAGGGAGGGGGCATGTCTGCGGGTTATGTTGTATGTGAGTCTTACTGCTGAGCCTGTGTGAGTTTTACTGTTTGGCATGAAGACTGTGTGCCTCAGTTTCCCTGTGTGCTGCACCAATGCCTGGGTGGTGGGAACAGGGGTGTGGGCAGGTGAGGGGGCTCCAGCTGCCTGCACAGATGCTATGGCCGGTGCCCTTCGTCCCCTGAGACCCAGGAGGGGGATGCGACCAGATGACACCTTTGCCTGGGAAGGGAGACAAAGAGCAGGAGCAAAGGGGTGTGGGAGGCCGGGTGGCTGGAGCTGGGGGTCTTGGATTTTGCGCGAGCAGATGAAACCGTAGGCTGTCAGTTTTGTAATGATTTGTGCGATCGGAAACTGTCCGTGCGGGACTGTGTGGTAAGCAAACGCTCCCTCGCTGCCAAAACCTTCTGCTTCTGTGTCTTGCCTCAGCAAAATCCTGAAACGCTTGGAGATAAACACGTTTAACGGCGGCTGTGTTTCCTGCTCTGGAGGTGGATTTTGGCCGCCGTGAGCAATGGAGAAACGTGCGCCGCACGTCTCGCACACCCCATGGCTGTCGGCCAGAGCCGAAGGGCCTTTTTTAAAAACGTTCACTGCTTTCGGAGGTCTTCGTTAAAATGACACAGACGTTTCGGAGACATTTTTCTAGCCAGAAATGACCACAGGCAAACTACTGCTTCTTCTAGGGACACAAAAGAACCCAAGCGACACGGGCAGCAGCCCCAGGTGATGATGGAGGGTAGCTGCTTGCCGGGGGCTCCAGCTCTGAAGCCAACGCCCACGGCCGCGGCAGCGCAGACGTCAGGGCAGCGCGGTGAACACGGGCTCAGCCCAGCATCTGAACACGATGCTCGGCCTGTTCAGCGAGCTCAGGGGGACGTTCGGCTCCCACAGAATGTGCAGTTAAAACCCGCTCCCAGTCTAGGCAAACCCTGGAGCGGGGACGAGCCCAGCACATGCTGCTTTCGGCCTGCAGCTCGGCTAACCAGCAACCATCAGCGTTTGCAAATCAGATCACAGCTCACAGCCACCGACCTGCGGGCCGACGCTGACAAGCCATTTAGCCAGGTGCCCGTCGCTGACAGGGGTTCCTACCTCTCCTTGCTGGCCTTGTGCTGAGCTGATCGGAAAACGAACGCTGCGCGTCGACACGGCCTCCCGCTCCAGTTCCTCGCAGCCGTCTGTGCTGAGCCTGGCGGGAAGGACGGCTCAGACTCTGAGGCAGCGCAGACACCGGGGTGGTGCCAGCCTGACGTCTCCGCTCGGCCTTGTGGCCGGAGAGCAGGGGCTGCTGCCCAGGGGCACAGCTCTGAAGGCAGCGCTGCTGGCGCAAGTCAGGGACCCATGCCCAGTTTTGGCAAAAGAGTTGGGACGGCCGGGTCAGAGCTGGAAAAGGGGACTATGGTCCCCCTAACGACAGGGAACTTGGCATTATGGGAGCGTGACTAGAGGAGACGTGGCATCACAGGGGCGTGGCCAGAGGGGACCATGGCATCAGGGTGAGCACGGCTGGAGGGGACGTGGCATCATGGGGTGTGGTCAAAGGGGATGTGGCATCACAGGGGGATGGCCAGAGGGGACGTGGCATCACAGGGGGGGTGGCCAGAGGGGGTCATGTCATCATGGTGAGCATGGCCAGAGGGAACTGTGGGCTCAAGGGGGCATGGACAGAGAGGACATGGCATCACAGGAGTGTGGCCAGCGGGACCGTGGCATCACATGGGCATAGCCAGAGGGGAGTGTGGCATCATGGAAGCGTGTCCAGAGGGGACGTGGCATCATGGAAGCGTGGCCAGAGGGGACGTGGCATCACAGGGGTGTGGCCAGAGGGGAGCGTGGCATCACAGAAGGGTGGCCAGAGGGACCGTGGCATCACATGGGCGTAGCCAGAGGGGAGTGTGGCATCATGGAAGCATCCAGAGGGGACATTGCATCACAGGGGTGTGGCCAGAGGGGGCATGGCATCACAGGAGGATGGTCAGAGGGGGCATGGCATCACACAGGGGTGGCCAGAGGGGCGTGTGGCCTCAAGAGGATGTGGCCAGAGGGGATGTGGCATCACACGAGGGTGGTGAGAGGGGAGCGTGGCATCATGGAGCACTGCCCTGCCCCGTGCCATGGCGCCAGTGACGTCAGCCCAGGACAAGGCCTCAGAGGCAAAGTGAAGCCTGAACCAAACTACTCCCAGCCCCTCCCCTCATGGCCACCAATGCTGAAGGACCCCGTGGGAAAAACAATCCCCCGCCCCATCTTGCTGCGGGGAAAGGTGCCCTCCTCAGTAGCCTGATGAAAAACATGAACCCGCGAAGCAGCTGCGAATCCGGCGCGCTCGGGTCCGTCCCCGTCGGGAGAAAAAAAGCACCAAATTCCCCCATTTTTGTATGTGTGTGTTTTTTTTCCAATCAGGCGCTGCGTTAGGCAGCCCCATCCGGCGTTGGCGCGGGGTCCTGGCCGGCTCGCGCTTCGCGCCCCGCATCCCGGAAGTGAAGGCGCCGCTCACTTCTGGCCGCGGCCGCCGCTCGGAGGAGACTCGGGCGCCCCTCCCCCCGCAGGAGGTAAGCGCCTCGGCGAGAATCGGTCGCGCATCGCCGCCATCTTGGGCCATCCGCCCCCCGGCGGGGCCGATACCCCTTCTCCGGGCGATTCTCTCTCCGATGGGCCCGGTCTCGGGGGCCATTTCCCGCGCCCGACCCCCGCGCAGCGGCCTGGAAGGGGCCGGGGGGGGCGGGATGGATGGATGGATTCCCCATTGTGCGTCTATACGGCCAGGAATCCAAGATGGCGCCGGCCCTGCTCCCTTGTCCGCCCCCTCGTCCCGCTCCGTCATCCGCGAACATCGGCCCCGTCCTGCCCCCCCAGCCCCCGGGGGCCCGGCCGGGTGGGGAGGGGGGACGCCCCCGCCGCCCCCCCGCGGGATATTGGGGGGGCCGCGAAATAAATAAATAAAAAAAATATGGCGCTTAAGACGCGCCCCCCCCCCCCGGCTACAGGGGGAGCCTGTGGCGGGCCGCGGGGTGCGGCCCCCTCCAGCGCGTGGGGGAGGGGTGCAGTGCATGGGGGGTGTATAAGGGGGGGCGGGAGGGTTGCAATGCAGGGGGGGGGTGTAATGCGGGGGCGATCTCCCCAGTACGGGGGGGCCCTGTAGTGGGGGGGACAAGGGGCTGGGGGTGCGGTTAACTGGGGGGCAGGGCCCCTGCAGTGTGTGGGGGGCGTGGAAGTAGCCCCCCCCATTGCAAGCTGCGTGGCTCCCCCCAGTCCTTGGCATGGGGGGGTGGAGTGGCGTTAGGGGGTGCACCTGCCCCGGCTGTTGTTTGCTTTGTACTGTGCAGGGGGAGGCTTTTGGGGAGACATGAGCACCCCAATGTCTGACACACCTGTGTGTCGGGGGGCGGGGTAGGAGCACACCCCCAAGTTCTAATCCTCCCCCAAAGCTGGCCAGAGAACCCAGGCGTCCTGGCTTTCGCAGTGCGTATGGAGACAATAGGGGGTCTGGGGGCCCCCCAGCATCGCTGGCTGTAGCTAGGGGGTGATTGGGGTCCAGTTTGCTGAACAACGGTGGGGTTTTGGGGGGGCTACAGCTGCACGTCAGCGATTGTGGCACAGGGACGTCCCCTCAACCTGGGGCTTCTGGGGTGTGGCTGCACCCCATTATCTCCTGCGGGGTTCGGATCCCGCCTGCCCCGTACCCACAGCTTGCATTGGAGGTGAACGCTGGCGCCCCCGGAGCTCACGTGTGTGGGGGATCTGGGGGGGCTGGATTCTACAGAGCTGTAAATGGGGGGAGAAATGTGGGGTGTGAAAACAGCCCCACAGGTGCTGGGAGGGGAGTGGGAGAATGACACCCCAAAACACTTCTGTGTAGCCGGCTTGCACCGGGGTACGCATGCGACTCCCCAGGGCACAGTGGGCTCAAGTGGATGTGGGGGTGCAGTGATGCCCCCGCGTTACAGTCACGGGGTGGCTGGGAGTCGAGTGGCACCCCCGGATTGCACGGCTCCCCGGGGTTAGGAGTTGGGGGGGATCTTGTGTGCTCCCCACATCTGCAGGGCCAAGGGGTGCAGGACGAAGGGGGGATTTGGGGTCTCAGCGCCAGTGGGGGATTTGCAAGTGACCCAATTTGAACCCCATGCTTGGGGGGGCTATTGAGAGGGACATGGAGACGTTAGGAGCTGGATAAAGGATTCTCATAACTGGATTCTGGTCCAGCCCCAGGGTGAGGGCTGGCTGGCTGTGGGGGCGGGAATGGGGTACGGGGGCGCCGGTCCCAGGGCAGGGGCTGGCTGGCTCTGGGGGCGGGGAATGGGGTATGGGGGGG